GCGATCTGGCAACATTGAAACAAGTTTCGAGAAGGACCATGTGTATCGACAGAAGGCGAGAAGAGAAAATTTACGTACTTAAGTACGTAAATTTTTTTTTAAGTAATAATAGTTCACGAAAATAATAATTTTCGTGAACTATTATTACTTAAGTATGTAAAAATTTATTACATTTCCTGTTGTAAGAGGGTTTTACCCAATTCTCGAATCGTGTCAGAGTGAATCCGTGCTATAAAAGTACCGTGTTATACGGGGGATGGTACTAATTCTCGAACCGTGTTAGAGCGAATCCGTGCTATAGAAGTGCCGTGTTATATGGGGGTTACCTGTACATTGCAGACTCTTTATTTGTGAATGTGGTTTCTCTAAGACATTATAAAATAAGATGATTTTTTAAGGTTAAATAACAAATACAGTTATTAAAACTATTTTGCAATAGTAGAAAAGATTTATATTAAAGTTACCAATATCGAGTGGTGCTGACGACGACACCAAACGGTAGATGTTAGAACTACCGTGGCAAATGCCAATAATGAGCATTTAAAGACTGCTAAATAAGAGGACAATACAGAAACACAGATGTTTTCATGTTTTGTTCTCTAGGATTTATGATGATTATATTAACATTTATTGTAAATGTACATATTTTAAAAAGATTTTATGTGCTTTTAACACTTTTCTAGTGATATTTGGACTTCAATAGTTGTGGCGGACGGACGTAAAGTCGAATAAAATGACTTAAACTTGATTTTTATTTTTCCATATATTTTTTTGACAAACAACGTATAATTGAGAACAACGTAACTCAAGGTATACCCGTACATAGATTTATACAAATAAATCTTTGTTTTAACTAATTGCAGCAATATCTTAATTTGCTCTAGAAACATAAAAAGAATTCAAACATTCAATTTTGTTAATGCAATCAAGAACAAAACAACTAAAAGCATTTTATCACCTGTTTTTCTATTCTTCTCAAAGCAGAAAAGAGTTGAGAATAAAATATGTAAATTACTTACTAGTGGTGGCTGTCATAACACTTTGAATTTCACCATCATAAATGAACATTTTTTTACAAGAATCAATAACAAAATTTAAAAATAATTTATAAAAGATTTCAATAATAATATCTAATACAAAATATTTTTCTTTCCATTCTATATATATGCATTATCTATAACAGTTTTAGAAACTGAAATATCAAATTAAATTTGATTTTTTAATCTTTAGTAAGCAAAACTATCACTTTTGTATACTTAAAAGGAAAACTAATGAACAAATTCAGTCATCTGGGTATCGACAAAATTCTATAGTCATTATAAGTGGATTTAAATGTTGTAGTATTTAATTTGTTAGACAAAATGCTATTACTCATCAATTTCATTTTCTAAAATTAGATATTACTACATCATATCCTTTACTTCTTGCCAGATAAACAATTTTATTTCATCAATGTCCAGCATTTTAGCAATCATGGAATTTTTAAGACTCAAATGCAACAACAGTTATTTCATCTAAAACAATACAATATATAAATATAAGGAGTGTATCAATGGACTCACCATTATCCACACTTTTTGTAGATATCCTCACGTTAACGCAAGTTTAAATTATTCCATCATTTGCTAACCATATATTTAAAATTCCTTTACATGCACTAAGTTAATGATATCCTATTAGTCTGGAATGCATTAATTGAGGATTTTAATCATTTTCTTTATTCAGAGTATTTATCTGCAAATAAAGTTCATTGTATAGCATGATACTCCAACTATATAACAAATTTTAGACCTAGATGTAATGAGAAATGGTTTCTTGCTCCTCCAATTTTCTTACAAATAAGTCAATCCTCACATTACATCAAAAGCTAAAGCTGGTTAAAGGAAACCAAGTTACTTTTAAATAATCAACAATCATTCTATACATTCAATTCACATATACATCTTCACTAAAGTACATCAACATTTATTAAAGAATTAAAAATGTTTGCCTCTTACAAGCCAATTGAATGAAACACTCAAAACAATAAATTCAAATTTGATTCCAGACATCTAATAGCTGACAACATGTTTTAAAATATTACGGAAAGCAGGACAATAAAATTTCATTTTTGAATAGACAGTTAACATCAAAATCAGATATGTATCAAATTACAAGCAGGATATTATTTTAAACAAATTTTCAACTTAACAGTCATTATATTATCAAAGTATTATAATTAGAAGTCACAGTTGCTACATTAATACATTTACATAAGAAAAAAACTGTAAATAGAAGTCCAATGTATAAAACAAAGTTACTGATGTTATTTAAACTAAGCTGGATAATTATTGCATTACAATTAATTTGATGAAAAAATTTTTGTAATGCAATGTAACATCAAATAAATTTATTAGAAAACATACTTAACATTTAAACTATTAACTTGCCTTTTTGGTTGGTTCCTTTCTTTTCAATTTCTTTTTTCTTGTCTATCTGTTTGTTCACAGCTATGGAAGAACTAGTGTTTGATGAAATATCTTTTACAATTGTCTGAGTTTTCTCAGGTATATATGATTTCTGCTCCTCCTTCTCAGACACTAAAAATAAAAATAGAAAGTTTATAGCAATTTTATATGTGACATATAAAAAGTTATATTTCAATTTCTAAGAATTTTCAAATTATCTACTATTGGTATAATTATCAGTCAAAAAAGAGTGACTTTATAGTTATCCAGAGTTGATTATTGCTATAGAATATCTTTAATGTTATTCTAAAACTAAATTTCTTAAAATGTGACTAAAATCTTAATTTCATTTAAAGTTGAAAAAGTTGTTCTTACAAATACAAATTTTTTTCACAATTAGTTATGAATAATAAATTTAATTTTTATCAAATACATAAAAAAAATACAGCTTATTCAGAAGAAAACTGTCAAGAGGACATTGAATTTTGATTGCAAAAGTCAAGATTTCTTTGGAAAGAGTGAAGTGGGTATTCCATTCTTAAGGCTCAAACTCATCTTAGGTCATGTCCAAAGACAAGTTTCATCAACAGTTATCATTCTGTCTAAAATGTGAAATCTGCTGTCAATGTTTCAAACAGCTTAGATTATCATTCTGGAAGCCATTTAATCAACAGTTAACATTTGGGAAATGAACTTTGCACACACCTGGTGCATTTCCAAATCATTGGTTACTAACCCAGAGGAAATTCCAGTGACAACCATAATCTGATGACTGGTGTCATTGGAAGATTGCTCTTATTATGGCTAACATATCTCTGTTCCAATGTTGAGGGTTGTCCACTGTGTGCCTCATCATCCAGTGACTCCTGGCCACTCTAAACAGAGTGAAGCACTTGTAAACTAATGTTTTCTTCAAACATCACTGTACACTGTTTGAAGGGCTCAAAATTTCTGCAGTGGTTTTGCCCAATTTAAACATGAATTTGATGTTTACCATTTGCTTAAATTGAGACATTACATAAACGTTTACAGAACTCAACTGGATTGCTAGCTGTACACACACCATCTGCCAATTGCTGTAGGTCAAGTTGTTTTGATATTTTATGGTAATTCCATAAACTTTTCAAAAATATTGGTATATTTCAAATAAAAATAAAATTTTTCCAATTTCTCATAAGAAAATTATCCCAGATTGAACAACAGGAATAAAATGTTTTAAACTAATAAACAGACAATAATTAATCTAAATTGGACATGAAAATCTGATGAATTTGGTTATTATACAGAAAATTACTACTCACTACACCTGTATAACAATCACATACACTGAACCAATTTACGGTGTGGTACGATCAACTAACCAGTACAAAAACAAACGTTTTTGAACCTCTTCTGGGCTCTCCTCCTCGGGGCACCTCCCAATGATCATCTCAAATGATTAGAGGCGATGCACATCGTTAAATCCTCTATCAAAACCACGCGCATAAATTTTAAAGAGGAGATGATTTTGTCGATGGCCTGGCAAGAGTTGATACACAGCACGCTTTAGCCGCTCCTAATATCTGAGCAGGCTGACTCGTCACACATGTGCGACATACAATTTTTAAAAGAACTGTTCGAACTCAAGAACGAAGTTATTTAAAAGGCATTCATTAATCGAATTTACAAGCTAAAGCTGTAGGAACCTGATGAAGAGCCCAGAAGGGGTTCAAAAATGTTTGTTTTTGTACTGGTTAGTCAATCATACCACACCGTAAATTGGTTCAGTGTATGTGATAGTTATTATACAGGTTGTCCACTTAAACATCTATCCAGGAAAAAAAGATCTTCCAGCATTGATGAGAGTTGCTAGTTCCAACTAAAGGGAAATCAATTTAAGATGATTTAGCATAAAATACAAATAATCTTTGATTGTAAAAGATAAAGACAATATTGAAAAAATTTGTACAGAAAAGTGAGCTTTATTTTGTTAGAGAACATGTTCAAAACAACTGCCTTCAGTGGCACTACAAAGATGTAGATTGGTTGAGCCTGGCATTATGAATAGAAAGTAACATCCCTGATGTCACCATTTCTTTTCTCTTTCCAGTCCATCAATATCATGCAGTGCTGCTGAATATGCATCATATACTGATGCTTTTAGTAATTAACAAGAAAAAGTCCAGATCAATCAAATCTGGAGAACATCATGGCCAAAGAACAAGACTAAACTGTCTTATCCAGAGTGTCAAAATGATCTGTGATTCAATGATGCACACATCTGACTGGGAGTGAAGCACAGTGTCCTATTATGCTGGTACTAAACCTGCTGTAGTTGTGCCAATAACAAGTCAAACCATTTGTCCACTGTCAGGGTTAGCAAGTTCAGATATCAGGGTGCCATAGATGAATACAAAACCAAGAAGCTGCTCACATCAAATTCTGCACCAGACATTTAAAGTAAAACAAACTTGGTAGTGTATCAGTCCATTCTTGAAAAACAGCACCTTGTCAGTCCATAAGATGTGCTGAAAAAATTGTGATTCATGCTGTAAATTTAACATTAGGTTGCACCACTTAAATATCTTTCTAGCATACTCTACAGGTTTCCCTGATTGAAGATAGCAGCATGAGTGCCTGTCAAAGTGATATAATATCCAGTATTTTTGTGTCTACTGCACATAACCTAACCTAGAAAGATCTCTTTTGCCTGTGGACATATGTTGAAGTGGACACCCTGTATAGTGCTTCTCAAAAGTACTCAGATTATAATATGGTGCAGAAGATGCAATACTAATGTTAATCATTGAATTATCTTTTATAATTTCTACATTTAGATTCTATTAAAATAAAATTAACAATCAAAATTATACAGTCTGTAACACAGATCAAGTATAGGAATTCCTAATGTTCCTGACTTACAAGATGTATCACATTTACATTTCTTTTAGAAATAGAAAGAAACCAATACAAAAAATTGGCATTAATATAAACCTAAAATGCACTCATGCCAATAATGCAGAGTTCTTTCAACAATGTCAAAACACTGTTGAGAGAACTATGTTTTGACTGTCAAACAAGCACCACTGTCAAACAAATTCAACATAGGAGACCAACAGTGAATATTACAACACAAGGCTGCAACTCAACATAAATGTTCTAATTTCACTTCTATTGTTTTTTGAATAATTACAGTATATATTATCTATTAAAATGTGTATTTATGTTAAAAAATATTTAAAATACTTATAGACAGTTTTAATTATCAAAATATTATAATATATACATGAAAATATTTCGGGGAATGGAACATAACTCATTCAAATACGTAACTTGTATTCCATTTACAACACTTCTTTTGGGGATGTAGGATTTCATCATAAATTGCAGGTTGACTACAAAAACTAATATGAAATTCTGTCATATTTTCTGAATAGTCATTTTTATCTTTAATGCATCATATTAACCTGACTTCTAATAATTGATTTATTATTACTCTAATAAAAAATAAATACATTCCTTTCATGTAAGTTGTGCAATAGCCTATAACAGTTACCAATAATTAAACTCTTCAAAAGTAATTTTTTGTGTTAAACTAAATGTATTTACTTTTTACTTTATTTTTAATAAAAAATTTGAATTACTCTATGCCTATTTATAATTACCTCCATTAACTTTATGCTCTATAACTTCTGACTGCTGTGTATCAAGCTGGCTACGACTTGGAGTGTACTGCTGAGAGTGATTTGTTGGAATAGTTGGAGATTTAGAAGCCGAATTAGTAGTACAGGTTGTTGATGGAATGGATGCAGAATTTGTAGATGAACTAGATTTATAATGACTATGAAAAGGTGCATTGGAATTATGCTGATTTTCAACTGAAGTATGAGATCTACTTGTTGCTGGATGCGTGGTAACTTGAGGAGAATTTCGAATTATTTTTGAACTCTGCATATTTTTCCGTCGCATTGGTGGTCCATATCTATTAAATTAGAATTTTTATTTTAATAAAATAATTTTAAATTTTTAAAATTTATTACAGAATCTTCAATATTTTAATTATATTAATCAATAACCATAAATATATAATTTACAACTGAATTTCTTACCAAAAAAATCAATAATATGTAGATGTATCAAAAGAAATTAAGAAATAGAAAATTATACATAAAAACTACACTAATACTTTCTGCTCAATATGATTCAGTATATGATAAAATATTTCAGTACATGTTAATAGCACTCTGACTAAATTAAAAAGAAAGATATAATATTAGTTAAATTGATTCACAAAGCCTGAAATTTTAAATTAGATGAAACTTCAAAGCAATATTCAACAAAGATTCACCTTTGCTTTTAAGCAAAAATTTTATGGACTAGATAACATGATGTCACTTTTAGTTTTTTGTTAATGTATTGTAACGTATTATACAGTAAAACTCCAATTATCTGAATAAATTCATTCTGCAAATGATTCAAATTATCAAAAATTTGGATAAGTGCATTAACAAGTAAAGAATGAAATTAAAGGGTAACAGAACAGTATTTGTACTGTACTTACTTATTAATGTGCAAGTAACAGCCTATTGATAATTTTTATATGTTAGAGCAAATATCCATCACTGATCATGAAGCTACATGATATAAGTGAATTGCAGTGCGACATTAGTGGGAGAGAGAAAATGGGCAAATGGTGGTTTGGATAATTGGGCATTCAATTAATTGATGTTCAGATGATTGGAGTTCTATTCTAATTAAATATTTTGTACTTTATATGTTTGTAAATGAAAAATAAATATTCAAGTATTTTACCTTGTACTTCCTGAATTATTGTTATTGTTGGTATTATTATTATTGTTATTGTTATTTGTAGTATTATTACTGTTTTCAGGCCTAATAACAGCACTATAACGTTCTTCTTCATCACCATTTTCTAGCATGATGCGATTACGATAAGTATAACTACTCTCTATTTCTTGAGCAAGCTTTAATGCTTCTGCCTCTTGCCTTTTGTATTCTTCAGTATTTTTTTGTTCTAATGGAACGCTGTAAATAATCATAGTATATAAATTACAAAAAAACTCAAATAAAAATATCACATTAAAAACTTTTAATAATACTAAAAATTAAATTTGCAATTTCAAAATGCATTTTTCAGAATTGCTCTAATCATTGTATTTACATATTTTTAGAACAAATATTTGGGACATCACAGGGCTCAAAAAGAGAGAACCCAAATGGTCAAGTCTCTCTGAGCAAAGATATGCACACTCACAAATGAGATAGGAGTCTCCACAAAAGTGACAAAAAGCTGAGGAGCAAAGTTTCACTCAGCACAGTCACAACACTGACCAAAAACTAGACATTATTAAAAAAACAAGAAATCTTTTAGTTTTCCCTGGACAAAGTTATAATAAGTTCAAATAAAAAAATTTTAAACATTCTACTTTCAGATTTTTAAAGTACAAGAATTTGTTAATATGGTACCTACAAGACCAGTAGTGCCAAATTACCAGGTAGTTTTGTATTTTCACAAGATTTAATAAGTATATGTGAACTAAACATTGCAGACTTTACTGTACATTTTGTACCAGTCACACTGCTTTATGCTTTCAATTTGTTTACGCATACTCTTTAATCAATATGAAGATGATATAATACCATGCTAAGATTGATTGAAAAACCTGAAAAAAATGCTAATGAACACATCGTTGCATAAAATAAACATTTACAATAATTTGTGTTTTGTAATATTTATCTACAATCTTTTCTACACATTTCCAAATGTACAGATATATTTCTTACATATATTTAACACAACTTTCAAATTTTGAATGATTTATATTTTTATAACCCAATATTCAAAACAAAATGTATTGTTAATAAATTGTTTATAAATGTAAGAATTTTAGAATGTCAAATCTCAAGATACAAAGTAATACTGATATTGTAATGAGTCTTAAAAATCTTAAATATATATTATATATTTATCTTATTCATAAAACATACATAATGCATTATTTTAAATTTATTGATATTCAGAATATCAGACTGTAGTAGAAATTTTAGATACTATATTATTTTAATATTTTGTATTAAGTTACTTATATCCTAGTATATTTTCAAACCAATTTATTCTATCTTAATGGCAAATCAATCATTTTATATAAATCAAATACTTATTACTAATGAATCATAATACATAAAAGCTTTCTTATTCTTTTCTCACTATATTTCATAAATTATAAAGTTGGTATTGAAACTGTTACAATTCTCTGTGTGTTTCCAAGTCTGTATGTTAACATTTCAATAGATCTAAGACACAATATCCATTCTGAGAATAATTAAATGTCAACTCATCAAGTGGTTCAAGACAATTTACCAGTTATTTTATTCAATCAAATAAATTGTTACAACAGTGAAATTTTGTTAACCTGGCATCCAATATGCTGGCAAATCCAATAAGCCAGCATGTCTAGCTTGTTTGGGATTATTGGTACATTTTTCTTTACCATTGTCATTCACAACTTCTGATATAAACATCATGGAAACAGAGGAAGATCAAGTTGACATGATGATATGATAGGTAAAACCAATTAGTTCATGCATGATTTTTCCAAGGACTTCCAAAGACATTAGTGCACAAATTTGATGAGAAGAAAAGTACTTCGCACACATAGAATCAATAATTATCATGAAAACAGCTACAGTGCAATATTGTTAATGTACTTTAATAATTAGAGTATGTCTGTATTTATAAGCAATGAAAGTATATAAAGCATGAAGTCTAGCATGTTCTTTTCAAGCCAACCAAAGGTAGGAATAGCCTGGAAAAATTGAAATGGTGTGTTAAAAAATCATAAAAGACAGATTTGTACAGTTTTACATGCAAATATGAGGGCTGTTCAAAAAGTATCGGACCTTTGGTCAGCAAAAATACATTTATTGATTTTGAGGTACAAAACCCTAATCCTCTTCAAACTAGTCGTCTTGGTAGTGTATACACTTCGCCCAGAGTTCCTGCCATTGCTGGAAACACTGCTGGAACGCATCTTTTGGAATGGCCATCAGCTGGTCCGTCGCATTCCGCACGATATCTTCTTTCAACTAAAATCGGGTTCCTTTTAGAGCCATTTTCAGCTTGGGAAATAGCCAAAAGTCACACGGAGCCATGTGGGGAGATTATGGAGCGTGACGAACCACAGGAGTGTTGTGTTTGGCGACGAAAGCCCTCAGATGCACAGAATGGGCAGATGCGTTATCATGATGGAGCTGCAAAGTTTTGTTCGACCACAGATTCGGTCGTTTGCATTGCACAGCATCGAAAAGACGACGAAGGACCTCCTGGTAGTACTCCTTTGCGGTGGTTTGGCCTTGTGGTGCATGCTCACGATACACCACCCCACGAGAGTCGAAAAAACTGTCAACATGACCTTGATATTGCTGTGGACTTGCCGCGCTTTTTTTTGGCTTCGACGATCGTCCCCGAAAGCCCACTGAATCTTGCGAATAATTTACGCTCAAGTATCGCCAGGGTTTTTGGCAAAATTTGATGTAATATCGCTACTCACATTGTTCAGTCATTTTCCAACTTAGTGGAATCTGACGAGAGCTCACTACATATCCTCACTCATAGGCCGACTGCCAACGACTGATGCTTCCTGAAGGTGGGAAAAAATTCAGGGCTGTGCATGACTCTACCCTCCACAACTCCACTGAAAAAGACCTCCCGCGCATCATTGGTTTACACGGAAAAAATAAAAGTCCGATACTTTTTGAACAGACCTCGTATATGTAAAATTGTGTCCAGAGAATTAAAAAAACTGGAAAAACTTCCACCACCCAACAAGGTGGTGTATTTGATAAACTGTCAGTCCCAACAATGCCAAGTTAATGAAATTTCACTGTTTCTAAAAATGACGTTCATTTTATATTAATTCAAACAGAGAAGTTGAAATCAAAATAAAATAGTTCTAATTTTTAAAAATTAACTTCAAATTTTATTTANTACTATTTGTAATGTTAAAGAATAATCAGAATTGCTCTAAATGAAAACTGAGTGTATTCAGATTCATATTTTCTTATAGGAGTTTATATATTATTACATATATTGATTTAGATTTAATTTAAATATGATTGGTTTGTTGAATCATCATTTTAATATTTAATTTGCAAGTATTTATAAAGAGATATTTATTTACAAATTATTTCCTTTCTGGCTTTAAATCTGGTATAACATTATTATACATTTTTATAATACAATTAAAGAAAAATGGTTATCCCAATACTACTGTCAAGTGTTAACTTTTTTTTTATATTCCAGTCATATACAGTATCTTACATTTCACATCTTTAGACTTAAGAGATTATTTTAAATTATACATAAATTAAACCATAATTTTATAAAGAAAATCTCCTCAGTACATAATTATTTCAAAAAATTTGTAAGATAGAAATGTTTAAAACTTAGAAAGTCTTATAAATACTAAGAATAAGAAAATCAATTATTCATTTTATTTTACATTTATCACTGATTAATGCAAACAATTTTGTACAAATTTACAACAAATTAATCACTGATATTTTTATAAAAAAGTTTTAAAAATGAACTTAAAAAATTAAATAATGCAAAAAAATAATATTTGAACTCACGTATAGCCTTGAAGCGTACTATCGTATGAAGATGTTACACCATATTTTTCAGCATTTGTCCGAAACATATCATTGGCATCCCATCCATTCTGTTAAGTAAAAAGTAATAAAATATTTTTAAAAATACTTATATAATAATTGTATTATGGGTTTAAAGCTTTTAAATAAAACATAAAATCTGAAACCAAAAAGTTTGGTAAAAATCTCAAAGGGGGAAAAAGAGAGAGAAAGAGAATCAAATATTTTAAAATCAAAATTAGATATATTTTAAACTAATAAAAAATATTTAATAATTTCAAGTCATTTAAACAATCAAAAAGCTTTAATTAATTCTAATTTTTTTTCTTGTTATCATTAAATACTAAAAATTTCATTTGTGATATCTTATCTATACTAATATTATAAAGAGGTAATGTTTGTAAGTAAGTAAGTTTGGATGTAGCGGGTAATCTCCGAAACTACGAGGGCTGTTCGGAAAGTTCGCGGCCTTGCCTATATGCGGCGCTGCGATCAATTTAATTTTTGGCAGGAATAATTCAGCCATCTTTGCTAAAGATACGATACCAATTTCCGCTTGATTTGTCAAAAAGTTTTGCCACGACAGCTTAGCAGATAGNCAAAGCTATCATGGGGGGCAACTGCATCAACTACAGGGATGGGGAAACACTTGCACAGGCGTGGAAGTATTTATTCGAGGAGTTCGAGCAACGGCGGTCGGAGGGGTGAAACCCGACGCGCACGTTTATTTATTTACATCGTTGGCAACATCGTTACGACGGTCGGGTCGAAACACGGCCAGTCACCACCTGAAGCAGACCTCGGTGGAGGTCGAAAGTACTTGTGGAATTTAATAGTGACATAACACTCGTTAAAAAGGTTTTTCGTGGGTTGTTATTAGAAAACACAGTGTTAAGTTGTTAGAAGTTGTTTATTCTTATTAATTTTAATTGATTCAAAATTAAAATATGAAACTAATCGCACAATATGTTTTTATATTTTAGAAAATAGAAGGAAAGTGGAGCTTTCACAACTTCCATGGATGGTATGCATGACTTCCAAGACATTTTTAACGTATGGGTATAATGTTGATGAAAGTGAGAGATTCAAATTTTGAGAAATAGTGGAAGATTCCAAAGATGACATTTAAAATAGATTTTCATTCCTATACAGTAGAGCATCATTTATCCGAAAGCATTCCAGTCGGCAAATTTAAATTTTCGCTAGTGCTGTGGCGCTGCAATCTTTGGCTATATCTTGGCTACTCCAATATTTTTTTTGTTGGTATGTGTGTTTTAGCTGGCAGTACTAGCACTTTCGTGTAGTGTTTTTCTGAGGACTCTGTGTCGTGCTGAATCAAACGTTTTTGATACTAGATTAACTTCTAAAGTATAATTTTTTTTGTTTTTATATTTTTCAATATATATATTTTGTTTGTAAAAAATAAAGAAGTAATTTTTAACGATACAATAGCCACAATAATAAAAATAATTAGCGTTGAAAGCGCTTGTCGGTCTGACGACAGTCATTGGTAATTAACGCCTGTATGATAAAAAGTTTATTATAACAATAGCCACAATTATTATTTTAAAAAGTTTATGTTAGGCTTAACATTGACGAAAATTCAANTGCAAATTTTGAACAATTATTTACAGATGGGACTAAAAATCAATTCTATAAATTGTATAACTACTTTTTACACTTAATCAAATCCTTTTAATACTGATTTTATCTTTGTACTGTAATTTTTGAAATTGAATTTTGTCTCTTTATAATAGATTAAAGTATTATTTGTACCATAAATCACAGATAAATGATTTTAAATAATCAAAATAAATAAACAAAACACTAAACAATGATATCTAAATTCCTTAAATAAATGAATGCTTGCTTATCAAATGATACAAATTTAAGTAACATTTTATTAAATAAAAATTCAATTTATTATATATTTTTCATCAATGTAACATACTATAATTATTAATCTAACACAGTGGGTGATCGGTTAACGAACAGATCGGATAACGAACACTTTCGCGAAAGATTTTTATGATCGGACAATGAACACACATTTGGATAACGAACACTTTACTGAACAAGCATAAAAAGAAGTGACATAAAATAATGAATACCAATTGATTTTCCCTTGTCTTCAGGTAACAATTCAAAACCTTTCAGAGTGTGGGAGACATCAACATTGATGCTCAACCCGATACCGATCGGATAGTATAATATTCCTCCGAATTTTGAAACGCTCCCTTGTAATTCCAGCTTTTTGTTTACCTTTCTAACAAATAATTTTTTATAGCATTTGTGAGACTGTCGGACGGCACTTGTTAAGTTTTTGTCGGGATTTATTTACAAAAGGTGAAAGTTTAACTTGTCCCATCAGATATTCGTTAACATTTTAATACCAAATTTCAAATTTCATCCGGGCCTTTCATTTAAATAATTTTTTGTGGGCTAGTTGATTTCTGTTCTCTGAATTTTTGTAAGTGCTTTTATGAACTTTTAATTTAAAAAAAGAAACTGATAATATTATGGAGCCTAAAAAGAGGAGTGTCAAGAACTGTGCTCACCATACAAACCAAGTAAGAGATAATAGCCAAGATAGAAAGTGGGCACAAGATGTCTGATATTGCTAGGCAGTATGGCTTGAACAGGTCTACAGTAGGCACAATCTTAGCTATGAAAGATATATCAAGAAGTCTCAAACCTGTAATGGAGTAATGAAAATCACATCTGAGAAATAAAGAACATTTTAGAGTTCATAATGGAACCTGAAACTGATCTGACAACAGAAGAACTCCGAGAACTCTCAAATGAAGAATATCAAGAAACTAGGCGAGATGTGTTTTCTTTAGAAAAAGAGGAAGAGAAAGAGGACCAATGTTGACATCTGCTACTAAAGATCTTTTGAAGAAGTGGGAGGATGTCAGAACATGATCATCCAAGTGGCATCCAAACCAGAATAAGGTTAATGGGGTTAGGGATCTCTACAATTACAATACTATATAGTTACTTCTGAAAAATCCTGAAGAAAAGAGAAAAACAATTGACATTGGACAGATTTTTTAACCCCCACAAACTGAAAAAACATGACTAATAAAAATGCAAGACTGCATATATATGTATTTTTACTATTACATATAAATAAACGTAGTAAAAAAGTATATATTTTTTAATTTTTGGAGTGTCCGGAACGAATTAATCAAATTCCCATAAAAGCCTATGGTAAATCGATGATCGGTTAACGAACAAAGTCTTGGAACAGATTTTGTTTGTTAACTGATCACCCACTGTATATATAATATATTATCTATAGATAATATATATTATATATATTAGATTAATAATTATGGTTGCACACAATTTACATAAACTATCACTAGAAGGATTACAGAATGAAGATTGTAGATAGTATGGATGTTTTGGCCAGAGGTTCCAAAAACTTTCTCAAATTACTAATCCCTTTCAGAAAAATAAAAATTAAGTAAATTTCTGCCTTGATTTACAGAATAGCCCTGCCATACTCATACATTCTAAGACCCCTCTTCATAAGCAGAAATTCATGTGAAATAGTGAATTCCATTAATGATTAAATATTTCCTATACTAACTTAGCCATCATATATTTTTCATATAAATAAAACAAATAAGCATTATATTAACAATAAATAGAACTAAAAATAAATAGAATAAATAAATAAAATAAATAAAACTATAAAAAATAACTTTAAAAAATTTTAACATTCTATCTCCCTCTTATGTTTGCAAAGTAATTTATATAAATGAAACAAAGAAAAGCAACAATGTCATTTGTACATGATCTGTTAAAAGAGAGATTGCTGGACAGCAGTGCTAGCAGTAGACCTCCACAATAACTTGTTCAAGAATAATGAATATACTGTATAGTATATTTTTCGTAAAAATCTTTAGTAGGAATATTCACTAAAATAATTGTGAAAAATAATTTCATTGAATTACAAACAATTATAATAATCTAAAAAAATTATGTTTATCCTTAAACAGTAATAATTTGATATTTTCATAGATATAAGTAAATAATGTTTGATTAACAATTCAAATAAAAATTATACATCTACAAATTTAAACATTACATAAAACAATAACAAATTATATGTTATAAGCATTATTTTTATAAAATACAGAATTTACACTTACAGCTTCATCTACTTCTCCTTCTAATGTTTTCATTCCATCTTGATCATCACATGATTCATCCCAAGGTTCTAACTCTTTCTCAATTACTTGACCATTGAATTTACTTATAGCTGAATCAGTGAAATTATCTAAATGAAAAATATATACATAAATTTTAATTCAAAATACAATATATAAAACTCTAAAAACAGTCATTCAAATGAGTATTTTCCATTTTCTAAAAGTAGAAAATTGCCAGTTGAATTATTGAAATTTTTCTTCAAATTTATTGTTTTGAATATTTTTCAAATGTACACAATAGTTGCATATCATTTATTAAACACATACAAGGTGCAGCTATTAAATAACGAGACTGATGCTGCTACAGAAGAAGTACGCATGTCCCAAACGCCAGCGACCGACAGCTGTTTAGCGTGAAGCCTTCTCTTTCAAATGCAGTACCTCTCACTTCTGTACACAAATCCGTATAGCCGTAGCCTTTGTTCACATTAGAGTTATTCTTTTGTTTTGCCCAGAAAAACGTTAAGTGCAACAATAGAGCAACGAATTGTTGTGAAATTTCACATAAAACTTGGAAAAACTGCTACTGAAACTTATAATTTATTGAAAGAAGTGTATGGCAATGAATGTTTATCATGTGCACGTGTTTTTGAGTGGTTTAAGCGTTTTCAAGATGGCTGAGAAGACGTTGAAGATGATTCACGCCTGGGTCGCCCTTCCACATCAAAAATGGATGACAATATCGAAAAAAAAAATCAGTAATCTGGTTCAATCTGACCGTCGGTTAAGTATCCGTGCAATTGCTGAAACCGTAGGAATTGACAAAGAATGCATATGGCAAATTTTACATAACAATTTTAACATGCCAAAATGATGCCTAAAAATCTCACGTTTAAACAACAAAAAGCTCATAAAAATATTTGTACTGACACTTCAAATGCTATTAAAATGACCCAAGCTAATTGAAAAGGATAATAACATATGACAAATTGTGGTTTTTTACTTATTATCCTGAAATGAAGCACCAATTCATGCACTAGAAGAGCCCAACCTCACAGAAAGCCAAAACAGCTTGAATAAGCAAATCAAGATTCAAAGCAATGATGATTGTTTTTTCGATATTCATGAGATTGTGTAATTCACTGGGTTCTTGAAGGTCAAACTATTAATCAACATTACTACCTTCATGTTCTTGCTTAACTCCATGAAAGAATAAGGAAACAATCGACCCAAATTGTGGAAGGACAAGTCATGGATTCTCCACCAAGACAATGCGCTGGCTCATTCTGCATTGTCTGTCAAGAGGTTTCTAGCGAAGTACAGTATCCCAGTGTTAGACCATCTGCCTTATTTGCTGGATCTTGTGCTATGCGACTTGTATCTGTTTCCTAAGATGAAATCTGCATTAAAAGGAACAAGATTTGAGCCTGCTGAAGCTGTGAAAGAGAAAGTGGCACACGTCCTGAAGGAGCTGACAGAAGACTTCTAGCACTGTTTCGAACAATGGAAGATTCACAATGGAAGATTCATATAGAAATAAAGGGGGGTGTATATTAAAGGTGATAATAAGTAAATATGTATGAAACCGAAATAAATGTTTTACAGCATCAGTCTCATTATTTAATAACCATACCTCATATGTAATATGTACAGTACATCATTTACATTATTTATTGTAAGAAAACCTAAACATTACAATATACAGTACTATCTCACAGATAAGACCAGAGCAGTGTATCATAAGGAGATTGCCAAATTATTTGAAGTAAGGCGAATTCAATAGTTTAATCATTCAAAAAGAAAATATTTATATATTTGCATGATAGTAGTACAAGTTACATTGTTTATGTATACAATGTAACTTATTCATAAAAACAATCAATATTGAAATCAACTCAATATCATACTTGATTCAGGTTCGAAGAAAATAGTTTTTTAAAAATACTTAATGAAAGATAAAGAGCATGCACTGAGCAATGTAGTAGTTATAGTCCAGAAAATTTTTGAAAGCAAGAAAATATATTTTAATTGGCAGAACATTGAAAATATGCTTTTATCTATATACAGTAAGATCCTGCTTAATGCTGCCTCGCTTAACACTGATTCGATATAATGCGATCTGCTCAAAGCTTAAAAAAAGCTCAAAATTTACGCTGATTTAAATTATCGCGGCATTTCATTGATTCTTATGTAATATGATTATTTGAGAACATGAACCAATCAGCAAAAGATGGCAAAAAGGTGTACTTTCTTTATATCTATGTTTGTTTGGTGCAATTTTGGAAAAAATATGACATCATGGATGCCATAGGCAATATTGACTTTGCTTGACAAGAATTAACTGATAAATGCATGAACAGAGTGTGGAAGAAGTTATGGCTGAAGGTATCCAAGAATTCTCGATGAGAAGAGCCTATTGCTGTATCGTTAGGTTCACCAAACTCAACCTAATCGATGCAGCAGGAATAGAAGATGTAGACGAGGATATTGAGGAGTTACTGCAGGTTTCTCTCAAAGTCTTAATGATGATGACCTTCAAGAACTGGCAGAAGGAATTCATGTAGAACTGGAAAATAGAGATTCTGAAAATAAAGAACCCAAAAAATTTCTCTACAGATTTCCTTACTAAAAATTTGCTAACAATAATCAAAATTGTCGATAAAATTGTAGCAAATGATCCAGATTTTGAAAAGAGTGCAAAAGCAAAATGGGGCATTTTGGATGCGATCTTCTACCGACATTTGCTTAAGGAAAGAAAAAAGCGACAAATGAAACTTCACAAATTTATTGCAAAAAAACAAAGAATTTGAGAAAAGTCAGGACCTTCATCACAAAAAATAAACTTTACATTTCTGTGTGCATATGTTTGTATTATTTAACATGTTTAATTATGCAAATCAATATAAAAATAACTTAAAGTAAAATTTGTTTATTTTTGGTCACGTGTTCCCCTATCTCTGTAAGGAACCAAAGTCCGAGCTTTATTTTTATTTTACTTTTATTTTGCTTTTATTATATTTTTGTTTGGGGCTTATGTTTAGTTAAAACGAAGGTTTCCTCACCCATCACCCCAGAATGTTCAAAACGAGAAGATAAAAGATTAACCAACTCACCGATGACGAAATGACAGCGCCATAGCTAGCATTGCACTCACGTGCATGCCCGAGCGGCAGAATTGTAAGTCCGCACTGAAGGGGGGGGACACTCCAATAGACTTTTAGGAACTTGCGTAACCTTTAACTAAACATCCCGATAATTGTTAAAGAAATGTTGTAAAAGGTTAACAAAGTATTGTCGAGAAATAAGCTACCAGATAACGAAGAGAAAACAAAAATGTTACATGTAGATATGTAAATGAGGGGAGTGTCTCAATTAGAACTGTGACGTCACCTCAGACTATAAGTACAGTCGCTCAAGTGAAGACAGACGAGATGAGCTCCTGAACCCAAAGCGTTGGTCTGCTGGTAGCAGTGAACAAGGTGTCGAATAGGAAATCCTAGTAGGAGATTGAAGGTTTGATTTTGATGATTTGAAAATAGGAAAGTCTTGAGTAGAAGAAAAGGTTCCGAGTATTAATTGAAGTGATGGTTAGGATTAATAGTTATAAGAGAATTTGTATCTAAGTTAAGAATTGAATTTTGTTTTGTCAGAATTCCAAGGGGAATAGTTTCTAAGTAGAATAAGACTTAAGTTGTTGGGTTGATTTGTGCTTTGATTTTTTATTTAATAAATTTGTTGTTTGTTTATAAAATTTGTACATAGTATTTGTTAGACTTGATTAAACGTTTATTATTGAGATTTTTTTTGTGACTAACTTTGTCCTTAATTTATTTCGGTGCACGCTAAAAGTCCAGGCCTGGCAACTAACAAACGCGAACCCGCATAAAGTACCCGTTAGGTCCCAGCTCTTTAAGAAAAATTCGTTGTAGAGCAACAAACTAAATATAGTACTTTACATCTCTATTTACTCTATGGTAAAATGACCTTATGTAATGCTGTTTCGTTTGGTGCTTTGTTGTCTAGGAACACATCCCCTGCATTAAGCGGGCTCTTACTGTATTTGAAATATGCATTTATAACTGACAAATTTTGGGTCACAGGACCTGATTTCCATTTTTCTACTTATTTTAAGGAATATCAAGCAAAACTTAAATATTGCACTTGCATAAAAATCTAAGCTCTACTCTTTACACAAAACATATTAAATTGTGAGAAAATTGCATTCACTTAATCTTTACATAAAATTTATATATAGAGAACAGAATAAATATTTTTGTCCATTTCTTATATATATAAACCAATACAAAATGCTTTTTTAAGATTTATAAAATTTTATAATTCTTCTTTTAAAATAAAAATAGAAAATTTATATTATTTATAGCTTTAAAAATTAATTTTACTATAGAATTTAAAAAATATAATAGATTCTCGCTAATCTGGCATCTCAAATATCAGCAAACTTTCCAGTGCAACTACAGTAATACCCCGACTTACGCGAACTTGGAGTTACGCGATTTTCAAATCTCGTCGATTCATCTTTTGTTTGAGCGCCATGCAACCCTTGATTACTCACTCCTCCCACACTATTGTTCAGCTTACATGTTCGGGTGTGTCGCGCGGAATCCACACATAGCTACAATTTATTTTGTGTTATTTATTTCTGTGTTTGTTATATCTACGGAGACTTGAGAGACTCTACTATGTCATCCAAATGAAGTAGAACTGATTCTTCTGCATCAAACAAGAAAAGAATAACTTTATCTTTGGAATGTAAAGTTAACATTGGCTATGTTTGTAAAATCGAACGAGTTAAGCGAGAATGAAGTCATCGTTATTCCTATTTCGTTAGACTTTTCGAACGATTCGTTACTAACGCGTTTAACTCGTTTGACTTTACGAACGTACCCATTATTAAAGACTTCGATACAAAATTGAAAATTTGTCAATTGGCAAAGAAGTTTGATCTACCGGAATTGTCGGTCAGAACAATTATAAAAGGCAAAGAAAAAATTCTCGAAGCTGTGAAAAATGCTCAATCTTTAAATTCAAGCATCATTCGTAAACGTCACAGTATTATCGCTGAGATGGAAACAATGTTAAAATTATGGCGTGATAATCGAGTAAATGTGAAAATTGTAAAATAATATAGGCCTAATTTGTTATACATATGTATTATCTAAGATTTTATTAAACATGTTTTTCTAAATTATTGTTTTCTTTAGTCTCCGGCCCCAATTAAAAATTATTTGTATGTATTTATATGCGAAATTATACTCCGACTTACGTGGTTACCGCTCGGTCCCACCTATCGCGTAAGTTCGGGGTATTACTGTACCTACATGCTTCTGTTTCCATAAAAATAAATTGTTAGTCATCACACACCCTGCTTTATTTACTTGAATTTCATTTCTGTATATGGAAATGCATTTTGTATGCTCTATTACTTGCCCATCTGCCTCCATAAAGAATCAATACTGAACGGCTGACACTTCAAATCATTCATTGCCTTTAGATAGGCTTTAGTCATATATGCTATTTATTAAAATAGAAGGAATAAGATAAATAATCAAATTGCCTTATATTTACAGGGTGGCTGCTTTATATTTATAGTTTACATATATTTAATATGGCAATCTTGTCATAATATGCTGCAATTGCTACTATCCATCCAAGGACAATAAAAACAAAATTGGAGACTATAAAAATGCCTTTAAGTGGCAGTTGAAGCATATTATGACAAGATTGTCATATTAAATATATGTAAACTATTTTAAAATATATGCTATTTGTTAAATTTAAATTAAGTGAACAACTAGTTTTAGAAGTTTACCTTTATTTGCATAGTCAAGATCCAAATTTGTAGCAGAGAGTATCACAATGTCTTTTAGTTTAAATATCAACTTTTCAGTAACAGAATCAGGAGAATTCATTGATGTCAATAAATTAGTGACTGAAGGATTAGCATCTGTTGCAGATATATTTTTTTTCTCTATTTTCTGAACCATCTCCAAGACGAAATCCAGCTAAAATAATTATTATTTCAAATTTTACTTCATTTTATAACTTTAAATTATACAATATATCAATAAATAGTTTAAAGTAAAATTTTATGTTGTAATAAAAAACTTAAGGGTAAACTTAGCACATGGTTCTCACATGACATTTATTTTATTTAAGCTATACGAAAAATAAGGGCAATGAAACAAATTTAAATTAATTTATTGTACAAATTTATTTTTTTAACATTTTGCTTAACAGCTTTTATTTGCTTTTATTGCTTATTAGCTTTTATTTTACTACTTATTTATTACTGGTGTGAAATTTTAAAAAATAAACTGTAAACACATATATACAACCTTCATCCAGCAGTGGACTGATAATGGTTGATCATGACAAAATATATTTACATATTATTACATATTTAAAAACATACAATGTATATTTCTTCTTCACTTTAAAACTATTAAAAAATTCTATATAATTTTAATTGATTAAATCAATTTATGAGAAAAATTATCTATGTATTACATGAAATGATACAAAGACATGCTAAAAAAAAATTCTATTTAAACTATTAACCTTCTCCTAGATTTTGACATAAAAATAGATCTTCAATTCAAAATATTTAGTTCAATTCTTGGACATTTAATGTCATTTCTTAATAACAAAATTAAATAATAATTTTAATTATCTTACAGAGATTCAGAGTATGAGTATATTCTCTTACTTCTTTCTTAATTCATAAATCAAAATTTTGATACAATATTCTGTTCTGAATTTCAATTGTATGACTTGCAGCAACTCAAGTAACTATGCTATTTTTGACATTATTTATTTTCTCACTAGTATAAATACATTTTGAATCACAATTCATGGGTGTTCACTTGATACAAACACCCATGATTTGAATCACTAAATATTGTGATTGAAAATTCATTTATACTAGTGATAAAATAAATAATGTCAAAAATAGCATAATTACTTGAGTTTCTGCAAGTCATACAATTGAAATTCAGAACAGAATATTGTACCAAAATTTTGGTTTATGAATTAAGAAAGAATTAAGAGAATGAATAATAATTTTTACTTCAACAAGAGGTAATAATTTAATTCATGGACAGGAATGAAAAATTATCTTAAATGTCATCTTTAGAATCTTTTGGTCATTTGTCCTTCTGAAAATGCTCTCCCCTCAACTCCACAATTTTCACCAGTGTTGTATCCATACATTAAAAGCATCTTGAAAACTATTTTTGACATGTGCAAAGTGTTGTTGCTAATACTGTGCAACCAATGATCACTGCCATAGATGCCAAGGTTCTGCCACATCTGTCATACTCCCTGGACTTGGCATCTTCAAGATTTTTTTTCCTCTGAGAAGGAAAATCTAAAGACATCTTTGAAAGGGAAACATTTATGACAAAGCTTGCAGAGTCATAACAAGAACACTTTACGTCAGTGCGTGTGGTGACATTTGATGATAGGGAAGCTGTGCCGTCCCTGGATAGAATCATTGGAAGCGTTATACGATATTTTGAGGTGTAGCATTTACCAGCTAAACTGCATGAGGTTGGTGCTCTGTAAAGTATATGCACAAATACATATAATATGGTTGCTTTACACGATTCAGATATTTTTGTCACGGAAGGCTATCCTGTATTCGACAATACAGTGCTTCTATTGAAAATATGCATATACAAATTTACATTCAAATATATAATAGCAATCTTATCATTTTTTTTCAAATATAGTATAGAAATTTGTAATAAGATACATAATGAGGTTACAATAAAATATTAATTTTAATAACAACCCACGAAAAACCTTTTTAACGAGTGTTATGTCACTATTAAATTCCACAAGTACTTTCGACCTCCACCGAGGTCTGCTTCAGGTGGTGACTGGCCGTGTTTCGACCCGACCGTCGTAACGATGTTGCCAACGATGTAAATAAATAAACGTGCGCGTCGGGTTTCACCCCTCCGACCGCTGTTGCTCGAACTCCTCGAATAAATACTTCCACGCCTGTGCAAGTGTTTCCCCATCCCTGTAGTTGATGCANTCCGTCACCTGGAGACCTGGGAGATTCACAAAGCTATCATGGGGGGCAACTGCATCAACTACAGGGATGGGGAAACACTTGCACAGGCGTGGAAGTATTTATTCGAGGAGTTCGAGCAACGGCGGTCGGAGGGGTGAAACCCGACGCGCACGTTTATTTATTTACATCGTTGGCAACATCGTTACGACGGTCGGGTCGAAACACGGCCAGTCACCACCTGAAGCAGACCTCGGTGGAGGTCGAAAGTACTTGTGGAATTTAATAGTGACATAACACTCGTTAAAAAGGTTTTTCGTGGGTTGTTATTAGAAAACACAGTGTTAAGTTGTTAGAAGTTGTTTATTCTTATTAATTTTAATTGATTCAAAATTAAAATATGAAACTAATCGCACAATATGTTTTTATATTTTAGAAAATAGAAGGAAAGTGGAGCTTTCACAACTTCCATGGATGGTATGCATGACTTCCAAGACATTTTTAACGTATGGGTATAATGTTGATGAAAGTGAGAGATTCAAATTTTGAGAAATAGTGGAAGATTCCAAAGATGACATTTAAAATAGATTTTCATTCCTATACAGTAGAGCATCATTTATCCGAAAGCATTCCAGTCGGCAAATTTAAATTTTCGCTAGTGCTGTGGCGCTGCAATCTTTGGCTATATCTTGGCTACTCCAATATTTTTTTTGTTGGTATGTGTGTTTTAGCTGGCAGTACTAGCACTTTCGTGTAGTGTTTTTCTGAGGACTCTGTGTCGTGCTGAATCAAACGTTTTTGATACTAGATTAACTTCTAAAGTATAATTTTTTTTGTTTTTATATTTTTCAATATATATATTTTGTTTGTAAAAAATAAAGAAGTAATTTTTAACGATACAATAGCCACAATAATAAAAATAATTAGCGTTGAAAGCGCTTGTCGGTCTGACGACAGTCATTGGTAATTAACGCCTGTATGATAAAAAGTTTATTATAACAATAGCCACAATTATTATTTTAAAAAGTTTATGTTAGGCTTAACATTGACGAAAATTCAACGCAAAGCGACACGCAACAGAGAAAAATTTCAACACAGGATAGGTTAATATATTTTTTCGCACATAATCGGTTATCCGAAAAATAAGTTATCCAAACAACCCCGGTCCCCAATTGGTTCGGATAAAAGACGCTCTACTGTATATGAATGAAATAATCAATACTTGTACTTTTTAAAATCAAAAATTAAATTACTTTTGGAAATTAATTCTCATAAAAGTTTTTATCATATAAATTTCAATATTAAATAACAAAGTTTGCATAATTTAACAATATTCCACTCTAAACTGAGTTACAAATTTTAATATCTTTTCTAAAATATCAAATTTAATTTATTCTGTAAATACTTAAAAAAGTAGAAAAGAGATATTCATTATAAAAGTTTATCTAGAAAAACATTTTAAATATCTATTCAAAGCTTGTTTATTTTGTAATCAAATAACATTTTGAAACAATGTTATTTGATTACTCAATGTTATTTGATTACTCAAATAACATTGAGTAATCAAACAAAAACAGAATTCATGAAAAATAGAACAAGGAGAGTTCCAAGTAAGACATTTAGTCAGGCTTGGTAATGCTATGCATTAGCCATGCTTGTTACACTGCCAATTTAAATATTAGCTAAAAAGACAAACACAGAAGTATAAAACTATTTATGTCTAAATTTTCAAAATAAATAATAATATTTACCAAAATAAACTTATCTAAAGAAGTTACAATATATGTATATAGCCTTTTAAATTTTTCATTTAACTTTGAAATAATATTGTATTTGATCTAAAAACCAGAATTAACAATGTTGAATAAATCATTTTTCTTGTTCTACTATTAAAATTTTTAATAAAAGAATTAATTTATGTAACAATTTAAGATGTCAATTTTATATTTTATAGATTGCTAAAATTATCTCTATTCATTAGCTTATTTTTTATTTTAATATTAAAATATACAATATTTTCAAAAAATAATTTCTTTTTCTTACATTAATAAATGACTTTTTGAAAATAATTTTCAAAAAATTGAAATTAACTTTAATACACTATTATAGATTTAATTTCAAAAAATAATTTAAGTCATTTAAAAAATTCAGTACTAAATTAAAATCATTTAATTAAAATAATTACTTGATTGGAAAATGTTCTAAACACTCCTTCATAACACATTCCATTTTTAACTTGAACTTGAACTAGACATCCCTATATTAAAAAAAAAATTTATTATTATATAATCTTTTATTAATTTACATGAAAATATTCTTAATTTTTGAATATATTAAATCTAATATAAACCAAATATTGATGGTTTTTAAAATATCTTGCCATTCTTCACCAGCTGTTTAACATGTTTTGAGAAATAAATGCAAAAGAAAATTAGAAAATTTGAAGTTTGAAAACTGCATAGTCTACTTATTACAGTCAAATGATTTCCTTATCCTAAAAGGTACAGTACATATTGATACTTAGATCATTATGTATCTCTTAGAATAACATCATCATACAAGGTCTGTTCAAAAAGTATCGGACCTTATTTTTTTCCGCGTAAACCAATGCTGCGAGAGAGTCCTCCTTCGGTGGAGTTGTGGAGGGGACAGTCATGCACAGCCCTGAATTTTTTCCCGCCTGCAGAAAGCGTCAGTCGTTGGCAATCGGCGTATGAGTGAGGTCATGTAGTGCGCTCTCGTCGGATTTCACTAAGCTGGAAAATGACTGAACAACGTGAGCAGCGATATTACATCAAATTTTGCCAAAAACCTTGGCGATACCCGAGTGTAAACCATTCGCAAGATTCAGCAGGCTTTCGGGGACGATCCTCGAGGCCAAAAAAAGCGCGGCAGGTCCGCAGCAATATCAAAGGTCATGTTGACAGTTTTTTCGACTCTCGTGGGGTGGTGTGTCGTGAGTACGCACCACAAGGCCAAACCATCGCAAAGGAGTACTACCAGGAGGTCCTTCGTCGTCTTTCCGATACAGTGCGACGCAAACGACCGGATCTGTGGTCGATCAAAACTTGGCAGCTCCATCGTGATAACGCATCCGCCCATTCTGCGCATCTGATTCGGGCTTTCGTCGCCAAACACAATACTCCTGTGGTTCGTCACGCTCCGTACTCTCTCCACATGGCTCCGTGTGACCTTTGGCTATTTCTCAAGCTGAAAATGCCGCTAAAAGGAACCCAAATTTAGTCGAGAGAAGACATCATGCGAAATGCGACGGACCGGCTGATAACCATTCCAAAAGATGCGTTCCAGCAGTGTTTCCAGCAATGGCAGGAACGCTGGGAGAAGTGTATACATTACCAAGGAGACTACTTTGAAGGGGATTAGGGTTTTGTACCTCAAAGTCAATAAATTTATTTTTGCCGACCAAAGGTCCGATACTTTTTGAACAGACCTTGTATAATCAAAGATATGCACCTGCTACGAAATGTCTTATTTATATTTTTTCAAAAATACAAACTTATGGTCATATGCTCGAAATTATTAATTTTTATTAAATTAATGTTAATTATTTTGTCTTTCATCAACATGAAAGATTAAAAAGAAATAAATATAAATAATTGTAATATACAGATAGCAAAATATTAATCTGTACATTCTATAGAGAAGGATAGGATCAATGACCATACTTTATTATTTATACATAGTAAACAAATATACAATTAACCTTACATTAACAAATTTAGAGTTTATCACTAAAAATAGTTTTGAGAACTTTTCTTCTGTATCTTTAAATTCTTCAACGTTAAACAAAAAATCAAATGGTTACAAACCAAACAAAAAACTGATGTTGAGGATGTGCTTTCTCAGAATCAGTTTGTAACCATTTGAAGGATTTTGATAATAAACTCTATGTTTATATTAATAAAANAAGAAGTAATTTTTAACGATACAATAGCCACAATAATAAAAATAATTAGCGTTGAAAGCGCTTGTCGGTCTGACGACAGTCATTGGTAATTAACGCCTGTATGATAAAAAGTTTATTATAACAATAGCCACAATTATTATTTTAAAAAGTTTATGTTAGGCTTAACATTGACGAAAATTCAACGCAAAGCGACACGCAACAGAGAAAAATTTCAACACAGGATAGGTTAATATATTTTTTCGCACATAATCGGTTATCCGAAAAATAAGTTATCCAAACAACCCCGGTCCCCAATTGGTTCGGATAAAAGACGCTCTACTGTATATGAATGAAATAATCAATACTTGTACTTTTTAAAATCAAAATTACTGATAAATTAATGAACAAAATTAAAAATTTCATTAAAAATTTATATGTAACATAAAGGCTGATATCATATAACAAATCATTCTATTGTCTTTCTATCTTATGTAAAAAGTGAATTGAAGTTATCAAATTATATTATTACAATAAAACATGCATGTGTAAAATTTACATAATGTAAATCAAGAGATGATATTTAAGAATTGTTAAAACAAGTTTTGTTCAAGTCATGTTCATTAGCTGAAAGTTGCCATAGTCATAAGCTCATTATTTATACTGAAATTTTTTCATAGTTATATTAAAAGAATGAACTATAGGGAATTTATTATGGGAACCAAATGAGTCAAACAATTTCAGGAAGTAGTAATGTCATTTAGTGACAAAAAGAGAAATGATAGTAACTGAATGACATGACGGAAAACAGTGATTTATCATGTCTTCACTAGAATTTAATACAGCAATAATATTGATGAACAGTCAGTGTTCAGACAATCATCAAAAAATTAACCAGTGTTTAATTTTAGATTTTGATATATGATATTAGATATTTAGATGCAAAATCCAAAGTTTTTTCATATTTCTAACTATAAACAATCTGATGTTTGATATTTGAAAATATGAAAAAAATAAACCCTAATTTTTCAAGATTGCCAATGACAAAACATTCCAATTCTCATTTCATCTATCAATTTCATCATATCATTATATTTCATTTATCCTCTGAGGCCATGTTTTGTTAAACCATTGACTTTTGCCACTTAAGGAGGCTATAAAAACCTGCTTACCATGAAGAATGTGTACTATTTAGTATTCTAGTATTTATTTTCAATAGTAGTCTTCTATATTTCTTTGATATAATTTAAAACAATTTAAACGAAATATAAATGTTGAATAAATCAAAATCATCATCAGAATGAGATATATTACTTAGCATTATTCATCTGTACAGTCATCAGGTTTTAATATTTCATTCATTTATTTATTTATTTGATACATCTAGGCCAGTTTCAATGTCAGCCTTAATGAAAATTTACTACAGGAAACTGATTAACATAGATATAAATGTATAGAACACTTCTATACAGATCAGCAAAAAATTTTCAGTTTAATTAAACTTGATTTAGTTTTTTTACTTTCCCAAGAGATCATCATTGGATTTACTTTGCTGATTAGTATAAAAATGTTATGCATTTGTTCATAAAAAAATTATAAAAATTTAGAGGCTCAAGCATAACACAAAATAAGTCATTTACTCAATGCTGAAAAAATTACAATAATTTTTTAATCAGTTTATTATAATCAATACAATGATTATAATAATTACATAAACATATGCTATCTAGTCTTGTCATATATGTCTACATTGCTATCAATCAAAGCAAGGCCACAAAGAGAACTTGACAAAGAAAACTTAACTATATTTTTATTCATACTTTTCAGTTAATTTACTAGATGTTATTTTTCTACTATTGTTTATTAACCCTTTATCTAACACACTGAACAAAACACAATATGGTTACAATATCAGACACAACAAAACAACACTGTTCACATAATCACACCTGATATATATACACTGACAATATCAAACTTTATGCATACACATCATCTCTTACAAATTACAGACATATACTCAAATAATATAAAAATGGAGTTTGGTCTAGACCAGAGCTTCTTAAACTTTTTTTACTCACGACCCCATTTATGATTGTGATTTTTTTCGCGACCCCCCCCAAATATAAAATAAAGATATACAAATTTGCAAAAACAATAATGGTGTACTACCACAGTTCACTCTTGTGTTACAATGGAACAAAGACAACTAAATACACTGAAAAGCGACAACACTACACTAGTTCACACTACAATCAGTGTTGCTGAGTCATTGTCTCGCTGAAGTAACACAAAGCGCAACTCACGAACCTATGGCACAAAGCGTGCCATTTTCAAACTCTCACAAATTATTTTCAATATTTTGCATTAAAATCTCGCGACCCCAAGATTTCTTTAAGCGACCCCAAATGGGGTCGCGACCCATACTTTAAGAAGCCCTGGTCTAGACAAATGCAAAACACTACACATTGAAAAAGGAATATGAGGAAAGGAGACTTTTATACTCAGAAGTAGAGTTATTATTGAGTTAATTATTGAGAAACATGATCACCTATATGTTATAAATGAATTGGAAGACCAAATGATGCTTTAGGCAGAAACTACTAACGAAAACCTATTAAAGTGGCACCAAAGATATGGGCACATAAACTTTAATGATCTAAGAAAAATGAAAATGGAACAACTAGTCGAAGGTGTGAACCTTTGACCATTTAAGAAGTCACATCATCGAGAGAAAGAGATTTTGAGTTTAGTGCATTCCGATATAAGTGGCCTGATGAAAACTGTCTCATTAGGAGATGCAAAATACTTTGAAAGATTTATTGATGACTGTACACACTATATGGAAACTATAATGCTAAAAAGTCGTTCAGATATTCTCCAAGCGTTCAAATCTTATAAACGAAGAGTCGAAAAACAAACAGGTCATCAAATCAAAAAGCTACATAACGATAACGGTAGAGAATATTTATCAAACAAATTAAACAAATTCCTCGAAGAAGAAGGAATCGTATGACAACTAAGTGTCGAGTATACCCCACAACAAAATGGTGTACCAGAACGTGCAAATCGGACACTTGTCGAAATGGCGAGGTGCATAATGCTGCACGCAGGTCTACCTCAGTCACTATGGGCAGAAGCAATTAATACAGCCACATTTCTATGAAACAGAAGTGCGACAAAAGCCCTCAATGGAAAAACACCAAATGAGCTATGGTTTAAGCATAAACCTTATGTTGGTTTCTTTAAAATTATCAGAAGTAAAGCTATAGCACTGGACAAGACTCGAAAATGCGGAAAATTTTATCCAAAAGGTTATGAGTACATGTTGGTCGGATACTCAAATGAGTCAA